CCACATAAAATGTAATAAATAAATTATAAAATACAGAAACCAACTATTTACATTTCATACATTTCAACTTTTAACTACTTAAATTTTCAGCTTTTTCCTTTTAAACAAATTTAAAGTGAAACAACACAAAACACTGCAAACCACAAAACAATAAAATATAAATTAAAATATGGGAAAAAAAGAACGCCCAGATCTTTAATTAAGGGAAAGGTTGGCATTTAGAAATATTAATATCACACTCAAATGACTGCGTTTTATCTTCCCATTGCACTGATGGGTGGACAGTTCTTAGGTGCCTGTGCATGCTGTTTGTGGAGCTGGCTCTATATGATATCCTTTTCTTGTAGACTTTACACTCTGCCTTTTTTTTGTCAATAAGATTGACGTCTGGTTCCAGACTTTGCTTCTTTTCTTTGTGTCACTCATTTTCTTTACTGTACTTTTCCAATGTGACGGTGTTGTCTCTTGTTGCTCCCGGCTCTCTTTCTTTCCCTCTCCCTCCTGCTCTTGTTGTGTGCTACTGCTGTTGCGAGTGTAACTACCGCCCAGCCCCCTCAGCTCAGTGCTGTGAAGAGGGGGGAGGGGCGCAAACGCAAGGCTCTGTTTGCCGTCTCTGCTCAGCGCAAACACAAGGGTGACTTGCAGTGTGAAGCAAAAAAAAAGTGAAAGAGAGGGCAGGAGAAAGAAAAAAACAAACAAACAAAAAAATCCACGGCTCCCAATAAGGAGCCGGTTCACATCGTTCACGTCAAAGATCCGGCTCTAAGAGCCATTTCGTTCGCGACCGACCCATCAATATTAGAAAGGCAGAGGCATATTTTCTAGTCTTTGGCTCAGAATGAAGTTGGTTTGGAAACATATTCAGCTATGCTTCATCTCCTGCTTTGCGTTTCTGTGAGCGCGACGTCCTATCAGTGTCCAAGCGTCTTGTTCCACCCCCCTTTTCATACCGCTACCACTACAATCAACTGATTTAGGTTGGTGTGCAGGTGGAGGACAATGGTGAAGCAATACAGAGATACAAGGATTGAGAAATGGAGATGTGAATATTACATATATTTTGGTTGCACAAAAGGATAACTGACGGCAAAGTGGAAACAATGATTAATTAAAAAAAACAAAACACGTTATACTGCTAACAGAACTTTGGCTCTTTGCAAGCCTCTGAACAAACAGCATGCTAACGCAATGCTAGCCAAGAACCCTGCATGATTATCTTTTGCCTACATTGGGTTTGAAGTAATTAAGTCCCAGTTGACAGACACCACTACAAGCCTCTTAAATTTGAGAAGGAAAAATAGGCAGTGATCAACCACGAGGTCCCACAGCCTCAGATGACTCAAATTTAATGATAAACATATATATTTGGAATAATTTACAGGAGTGTAATTGAGAGGACAATAAGTTGCTCAATACAGCAGGAGGTGGAGGATGAGTGAGAGGTATAGTGCTGAGGCTTTGTAGACTAATCACAGTCAGAGACTATTCATCTCCCTGCAGGTTTAATTTTGAAGACGAAACACCGACAACCAATTTTGACACATTCCCAGCAGCCATTCTCACCGTCTTCCAGGTAAAGATCAATTAAGTCATGTTATATTTTTTCATACTACCACTGAACTGGACCCCTAAAGCAGTCTCTGTCTCCCCTGCAGATCCTAACTGGAGAGGACTGGAACGCAGTCATGTACCATGGGATTGAATCCCAGGGGGGTGTGCATGGGGGAATGTTCTCTTCCATTTATTTCATCGTACTTACTCTCTTTGGAAATTGTATCCTGCCTCATATATCAAGATAGATTCTCTTTGTTGACACCAGGCAGCTTTATAGCCCTGCCAAAGTTTTTATTATTGATTTGAAGATTAGCTGGACCTGTAAATACTGATTCTGTGTTTATCAATCCTTTGGTGTTTTCCTGAGAACATAAATAACCAGACACCCTCCTCAATGTGTTCTTGGCCATTGCTGTTGATAATCTTGCAAATGCCCAGGAGCTCACTAAGGTACGATATATTGTTATATATTTCATTTAATTTTTCACCCTTAGTAAAATCTTCCATGGCCTTTTACTTCATTTTTTCTTAATCCTCTGAATCATCCTCAGTCTTAACTTTAACTAAAGGTAGTCAGATTTTTGATCTATTTTTATGCCTGTTTTCTCTAAATAAAGGGCCATGGTGTGATGACAGAGGGTTAAGACACAGCACTGACAAGATTATGATGTAATCATTATGATGTCATAATCTTGGATGAGTAGGTTGATGGACATCCTTGGATTAAGGATCGAGTTCTTTAGATAACTGGAAGGTGTAGAAGAACTCTTGCAATCTTCTTTACTTAGCCCTCAGGGACATTCCATGTCAACTGGCCAAATGCTTATAACGCTGACTATCTTGGATTTCTCAGAAAAAGTCCCCTGCTAATGCTATAACACCTGGTGTAATACAAAAGCCAATTTTTGTGTTATGCCATTATTAGTTCATAATAATGAACTATGTGCTGGAGGGTGCTCCACCTGGAGACTCTGTTGTCCTGCTGGGAGACTTCAATGCTCACGTGGGTAACGACAGCGAGACCTGGAGGGGCGTGATTGGGAGGAA